ATATGTGTGAAGCAGATAAAAATCACAGTAGTCTTGCCAATTAGAGTATCTCTTTTATGTACACCCCTTTCCCCCTTGTTGTCTGTCAGCTCTGTTCTGCAGAGAGAGATCTGCCTCCTGTATCCCATTAGGGGATCCTTATTGTCCACGGCTCTGGGTGGAAAAACAGGATTCTTTTCACTTTTTTGCTTAGCATTTGAATATGTGTGAAGCAGATAAAAATCACAGTAGTCTTGCCAATTAGAGTATCTCTTTTATGTACACCCCTTTCCCCCTTGTTGTCTGTCAGCTCTGTTCTGCAGAGAGAGATCTGCCTCCTGTATCCCATTAGGGGATCCTTATTGTCCACGGCTCTGGGTGGAAAAACAGGATTCTTTTCACTTTTTTGCTTAGCATTTGATGTCCATTTTCTGTGGTCCCTGGTTAAATTTCATTGCAGTTCTCCACGGGGCCCCATGCTTTGCTAGCCAGTCTGGGAATACAGTGCAAAAAAAAATCCATCCTGCAGCCCGACCTCCTCAGAGTTAAAAAAACCCAACAACAATTGATTTGGGGAATAAAGCAGCTCTCTCATCTCTAAAAATAATCTTGCAAGGTGGTGAAATGGGTGGCTCAGCGGAGAACAGGGCGCAGAGGTTTGTAGCTCGAGATTAGCAGCTCGTTTCCGCTCCAGGACGGTGTTGTTCCAGAGTCAGTCTCCTCTACGGGGTGTTCATGAATCAGAGTCCACATCCAGATGGCAGAGGCATCTACAAAACGCCATCACCATGAGCACCACTAGAGTAGTAAGAGCCTGCCTTAGCCCCCATCATATAATATGTACAGTTGGGGTGATTTTTTCCAATGTGCAGTACTTTACACTTATCCACATTACATTTCATTTGCCATTTTTTCAGTTGCCCAGTCACTTGGCTGGTGCGATCTTTCTGAAGTTCTTCACAGTCTGCTTTGGTCTTAGCTACCTTGGGCAGTTTAGTATCATCTGCAAACTTTGCCACCTCACTGCTTACCTCTTTCTCCAGATCATTTATGAATACGTTGAATAGGATTGGTCCTAGGACTGACCCTAGGATAAGGCAGGCTCATTCCTCCCCAGCCCTGGAGCACGCTAGTAGTAGTAAGGCCAAACTCTAAGCGTTGCCCACCCACCCCCCGCCAAGGAAGCCTGCCCGTTGCAGGTTTGAGGCACATTGGTAAGGCGGTGGAAGGGGAAGGTACAGCAACTATGGCCTACCCCAATTTGGGGGTTACAAGACTCCAGTCTCCCGGGCTGTGTCTATTGCATTTGTCAAGCCATGAATCATTCCTGGGCATGTGAGGACCTGACTTCTATGATTTATGGCCGTGTAGGAACAGCCCACGATTCAGGCGTTCAGGTGTGAAGGGCAGTTGCAGCCGTGCTGCTTCAAGACGAGAGAACATTTGTGTTTAAGGGGCAGTGGGGCCTGTAGCCAGACGCTGGGCGTGAGGATGTCATGGATATAAAGGGAGAAGCGGTGAAGCACACAGATAACAGGGAGCACAATTTGGTCCTATGATTGTAGAGTGGGGACTGAGTCACCGATCACTGGGTCTTTGCTCCACCCGTTACAGAGAGAAGCTAGCTGCAAAATTTAGATGAGAGATGTAGTAGTGTAGTCGATTAATTGATTAACCGCCAAGCAAAAGCATATAGGTTAATGCTATAGACTACATGCATTCTCCCCCCGCCCCCAGTAAATTTTTTAGCAGGCTGGCCAGGAACCGGTCTGGGACCTACCCCTGCTGCAACTCTGCACTTAAAATGTATTAAGAGCCAGGCAGCTGGGCAGCCCGGTTCAGTTTCAGCTTGCGTCAGGTCCGGGAGCTCAGACACGCCCCCTCTCCCTCCCGCCCCCGACAGGGGCTGCTACCACGCTGCGCTGCTGCCTCTTTATTAGAGGCAGCAGCACAGGATCACAGGCAGCCGGTCTGCGAGGGGAGCTGGTTTTTAAATGGGCTTCCCTCGTGGACCAGCCCCCACCTGGCAACCCGCGCTGCTGCCCCTGATACACCAAAGATCCCGCCCCCGCCATGAAGAGGGTGGTGTTAGCTCATATTACAGATGGGAAAGCTGATTGCAGAACCAACCTGTTACCCTTCTTATGACAGTGGTCCCTGCTGATGCCTTGAAGGAAGAAATCAAACACTCATCCGGCCGGAAGGGGGGGGGCTGTTTCTGGAGTGAAATGTCTCATGGATCCCAGCTAAGGCCTGGGTTTATTCCCTGAGGGTTGAGCATTGAGAGCCCTTGCGATTTGACTCTAGCTTGTGGGGCTGCAGATGCTAATCTTTATTCAGATGCTCTGACATTCTGTTCCCACAAAAGGCCACAGCGGTGAGTTCCCCAGGTTAGGGATACGTTAGTTACAAAGCACTGGACGGGGGGAGCGGAGAGCAGGGCTGGTGGCCGGTGACTTCATGCTGCACACACGGTTTAATGCCTAGCTGGTTTTTACTGCATTCTGCTCACAGGAGGTCCGCGATGCACATTGTCTGTAACACCACAGCCTCAGACGAGGGCTTTGAGAAGGTCAAAGTGTCCGTGAGGGTGGACAAGGCCAAGATACACCAGGAGCTGCAGTTTGAATACATGGAGGATCCCACCATCCTGAGGATTGAGCCAGAGTGGAGCATCTTCAGGTACTAATACAGCCCCTGTTTCCTCTAACTCTGACTCCTGTTTGTCTTGTCCAGGGCTGGATGTGGGTGCATGGGCTCTTCTCGCTAATTTAAGACCCCCCGTTCAGCAGCGCACATCCAGTGGGTGACGTGACATTGATTTCAGTGTGGCCAAGCATGTGCTTTGCTGAATCAGTGCCTAAGAGCCCAATGGGAATGAAGGGGACTCACCCCCTCACAGGACTAAGCGCGGATGACGCTGCCTTACAGCTGGAGGGGTCCCAAAGGCATGATGGGTGTTGTCTCTGTGTGTGCATGCCCCCTGCATATGGATGATCTTGTGCTGACTAGGGATGGTGATTTCAGATAGTCGCAAGGGGATTTTGTGCAGTGCTTGCATGTATCAGGCCCTCTGCATATCCTGTAGCAGGCCACGGTTCCCTCCTTAGAGAAGCAAAAGCCACACACGAGCCTTTGCCGACTGCATGTCTTGGGAACACCGTGGCAGTTGCTTTAATTACAAGGTGGTCTCCGGTCCAAGGCTAGAGATTTTGGCTCCAGTACTAAAAACTGGAGAGTTCCACCCTCCACCCCTACGCCTCCCCCCACAAATCCCCCGTGTTCCATATTTGCCTCCCAACAGGATTTCCCCCATAAGTAATAAGGGAGAGGACTGGATTCTACTGCACTTTCCCTTGGGGCTGGCTAGGTCCATGCTGATGTCTCTCCAGGAGGGTCCCAGTGGAGAATTTCATGATCCTCTCTGGAGACGACTGAACCCATTGAGATAAAATAAAACTCCTCCAGAACTTGAACTGTATTTTTCTGAATGGGGTTCGGTCTCCTCACTTCCTTGGTGGGCTTGTCAGTGCTGCAAGGGGACGTGTGCCACAGGGGGGTGAGTTCTAAAGGTCACAAAGCTGCTGTACAGGGATTGGTTCATTCCGCCCCTGCTGGTGAGCACTAGAGGTTCCCTTGGGTGCTTTACCATCAAGCTGTTTGAAACTTTGCTACCTTAAATCACACTAGGGAATCTTCAGTGCACAGCAGCAGTGTCTCCACATGCCAGTTAATGCAGAATACACTGGTTCCCTTTGAAAATCACACCCTCTAGCACAAATTATCTCACCATGTAGCCAATCCTTTCAATTTTCACTGCTTTCCTGCACTTCCTCCAGTTGCTTTCCAAACTGCGAGTGCTGGAATATCATGGGAAGGCCGTTTATGGCCTGGCTGGGTCTCTCATTAGATCACCAGCCCACGTCTGCAGACCCAAAAGATTCAGAGAGCTTAGAGATGCATCATTATAGCTAAACCTCATCCTAACTAAATCTCAGTCATTGGAACAAGTGTGTAAGCTGAGCACTTGGGTAGCCCTCCAGGAGAGATTCAACTACTGCCCTGCCAATTAGCAGAGTGCCCCCAGGCTGTCGCATTTTTCTACTGGTGGTGCACATCCACACATGCCTCAGTGCAAAGAACAAAATTTATTCTACACATTGATGGAAAAACTTAGAGGGCACATAGATTGGAATACTATATTATTTCCTCCAGAACAGAGAGGTGCAGACCGCACTATTCACTCAGTCCTAAGTTGTCCCATGCCCTGTTGTCACTGTGTTAATATTTGTTTTCCTGGAGCACACTGTGGCCCCAGAACCCCATTCTGATGCACAGATACAACACAAAGACATGACCCCTGCCCAGCAAGGCTCATATTCTAATTGCCCTGACCTGTGCCAAGATCGCATTCTCCCCTTCGTTCCATGGATAAACCCCACTTGCTCCAGTGGGGTTGCAGTGAGGAGAGTAGCTGAGAGGAGAATTTGGCCCTGTGGGTGGAAGGAAGCAAAGCCTTAGACAAGTCCTGGCACAAGCCTGCAAGACTGGCCCAGTGAAGAGGGAAATTGGTCATTAAATGCTCTAGGATTTCCTTTAAAAGATACCAAATAAGAAATATGAGTCTCCTCTCATCCATCCATCACAGTTCTCAGCTCCCTGTCAACCTGGAGTGATTGGAGTGTCGGGGGATTAGGCTGCGTCTCGTAAATACCCTGGTTCAGCTCCCATCCGGAGGATGTTTTCACGAATCAATTAATGACTTTAATTACAGTGGAGGAATGTACCAGTGTCATCAGATTGAATCTCTCCAGGCCGAGCTCACGGATTCAGTGTCTGGGTTTTCCATTCTGAGGGGCTGTTAGTCACACAGGTCAGACGGCACTTTCCTCGGGGAAAGCTAGTGACGTGCTGGCGAATGCCGCTGGATTGGCGGCGCTGGGCACTGAATTGCACCATTATCCGCTGGAAAGAGACAGTGCAGGCAGCTTCCTCCACCCCCGCTGGCACCCTGGCCACAGTGAAAGGGGAGTTTGCTCTTCAGGGCCCCATGGTTCCTGGGTTTCAGTGCAGGAGCTGCCAGCAAGGGGCCCAGTGAGCATGCGTCGAGTTGTGAGGGTGGGTTTTGTGGCGTAGAAAGGTCTGGGGCTCTTTGCTTAATGGAGAGCCAGGAGCTGCACCTGCCTATCTAGACCTGGCAGCACAGTTCCCGCTAAGGTGCGCGCCTGTGCGGCTGCACACAAGAAAGTCTTCCCCTGCCCACCTCCTCTGGAGAGCCGCACAGCAGCACTCGCACAGCAGGCGCCTGCTCCGGTGGGCAGGGCCAGCTGAGACGGCATGGTGAGGGAGCCGGTGGGGCAGGGGGCTTGGACCGCATGTCTGGGGCGGAGGCCTGCTCTAGTGGCCGGGGCTTCCACGTGAGTGGGGGAGGGGACAGGGGCTGTTCTGGCATCTGGGAACGGGAACTGCCCCATAGCGGGAAGGCGGGGGGCGGGATCTGCTCTGGC